CTTCATTTATTCATGCAAAATAATTCAGAAATTGCGAATAAGAATGTTTAATCATTTCCTGGAAATTAAGTAATAAATATTACTTCAAAAAATATAAATCAAAATTAATATAGAACAAAGCAAATTGCTTGGCTACTCAGCATTTAAGTTGAAATGGTGAATTCAGGAATGCAACTTCATGATGCAACAATGCATGTGCCAAACACAAATGTAAGATCAATACAAATTCAACATTGTGTATGCTGCAAAATAAAAACAACACCTGCAGTTGCACAAAATGTACTAAATATAATTCTTAAATAATGCAAAAAAAGTATTGTAAAACAGTAAAACTCTTTTAAAAATGTATAAATTTTTAGGTTAAATGAGACGCTCAGAAATATAATCAATAAAAATTATACTCAATTTCCAGACCTCAAAGCTATTCATGACAAAATATCTATGCTTTGCATGAGAAAAACATCTGACTTTACAAAAACTGTTTCTAGATTCCATCATGTATAAATAACACATATAATCATATATCAACTGACTGCTATTAAATAAAGAGATGAGCAACTTTTAATTGTCTGCTATTTCTGCTTCTTCTTTTTCCACTTTTTTCCTTTCATAATCCTCTGTTTCTTCTTCTTAGATGACCCGGAAATATCATCCCTTACTTCTTGCCACCTTTGGAAAGTATACCCTGTTATGTGCAGTATGGAAGGCCCTGTCATCATTTCTGTAAATAAATAGATAAATATAAATATATTCTATTTAATGTACCTTTAACCACTTTTACAAAATAACCATAATTACTTATATAAACCAAAGAATATACACAAGAAACCCACCAAAAAAATTTTGCTCTCTGAACGGGACAATATAATATACAGATTGTTGTTCATATTCTTAGCAGGGTGGTTTGTCTGATGATTGCTGTAATTCCCAAATCTTATCATAAACTGCATTATGATCACTACAGAATATAGTCTAACAGATATCTTGTAATGGCATTTAATATGAGAAATATCTCTTTGTGTAGAGCAAACCTAACCTAACCCATTCACCCCATGTGGCAAGAATAGATGCCATGCCCACTTTGATACACGTTTATTTATTGTATTTACACATAGATGGCTCCACAAGTTCTTAATCACCAAAGAGCCAGTTATCAAGAACTACCTATTTCACCTGTTTACACTTTTCCTTCACTTTAGGAAAGGATTTTTTTATATCATTTAATTGTCTAAAATATTCTGATGACAATTTAATAATCATAACATCAATAACAATAATAACAGTATCGATAGCAATGGTATTAATCTTCCTGCCAGTTCAATGAATGGGAAAATCAGGATCGGTAATTAGGGCCTACTGATAGACTCCTTGCCGGCTGAGCACGTTTAGAGCCATCTGTATGTAACAAAATTCACCAAAAACTACAGGGGACAGAACATAAATCCGGGGCCAATGGGTTAATAGTGATCATAATGTTTTCAGAGCCTGAAGAGGGCTTTTCTTTACAGTTAAGAATAACTGGTTTGTCTGGGAATGATAGGATTCGCATATTTCATATTTTATTACATTTTCCAGGATTAAAAAAAAAAAAAAAAAAAAAAAAAAAAAAAAAAAAAATGCATTCCAAACAATATGTTTAATTCCTAATCATGTTTAGCTTCAATCTGTCTAAATTACTTAGCCTTTAGTTAAAGTAAAAGTCAGACTATTAATTTGAGATATAAATATACTTGCAAATGTATTATTTGAGTTGTTTTTCTCTATATTTAAAACAATAAGATGGATTTTTTGGTGATTATCTCAGTAATATAACTATAATACAGATTATTCAATTAATTTTGTTTGCTACTAGTTGATGTAACCTAATAGTAACTGCTGTATTCTCTATGGTAATCTAAAAGAAAGATAAGACCCAAGGATGATCATTATATTAAAGAATATTTAAATCAATGCTGCCCGGAAAATATTGTGCACTTTTTTTTTTTTCTTTTAATGTCTCTGCACATAGATGGCTCTGCTAGTGCTTAGCCACAAAGGAATCAATTAGTAGATCTTGTGATCTTACCTGATTTCACCTTTCCTTGAATTGGCAGGATTATTATTATTATTATTATTATTATTATTATTATTATCATTATTATTATCATTATTATTATTATTATTATCATTATTGTTATTATTATTATTATCATTATCATTATTATCATCATCATTATTATTATTATTATTATTATTATTATTACTATTTTCTTTTTCTTTTTTTTTTAAGATAATGTGAAATACTTTAAAAAATCAAGGAAAAGGGTAAACAGGCGAGACAGGCATTACTCATAATTGGCTCACTGGAGACTTAGTGCAAATGTAGCCATCTATGTGTAAAAACAATTAATTAAGTAAACTCACAGTGGGCATGGTATGTACGTACATGCCATACCCGTTGGATTTGGGTTAAGAATGTGTATCATCACCTTCCCTCTTGGTCATGTAGTTTCACTGTAACCAATTCAAGTATCAATCCAGAGTTTATCAGAGACAAAGCATAAACTCTGGTGGTATTTTCATTATTAAGCAGAGAAAAACAGTTATAATGTCAGTTCCATTCCTTGCCATATAATTTACTTGTGACTCGAGCAACATCAGACCTCTGCTTATGTAAAAAAATTTAATTTCTTATCTAACCGAGGTATTTTAACCCAATGCCGTCAGGGAAAGCATGTACATGAATGGCATGTCCACACTGAGTTTAGTTTACTAATTGTAATTACACAAAGATAGTTCCACAAGTGCTTAGGCACCAATGAATCAATTACAAATCTACCTATGTCACCTGTTTATCTTTCTCCTTGGTATTTGGGAATATTTATTTTGTTTCATATTGCTATTTGTATTGCTAATAACATTGTAATCATTATAATATCCATGATATTAATAATAACAGTATCAATATCAATAGCAATAAAAAACACTTGTTTCCCAAAAACTCAGAGATGGGGATAATCAGGCAAATTCATGGAGACTACTGACTGACTCCTTAGTGGCTTTGCACTTGTGTAGGTTTCTATGTGTCAATATATTTCACAAATCATTACTAAACTGAACATCACATTTTCCTGGTGGCACTGGTTTAAAGGTGATATCGACATTTTGAGAGGTCAGTTATGAGGCATTTGAAGAAAAAATATCAACTTTATTTTATCATAATCATTCATGTTTAATATATGCAATTATTGAATTTTCAAAATATGATATTTGTTATGACAAAGGCAACTGTTTTTTATAATTTTCATTTAAAAAACTGAAATGGTATGTGAATGAACTGAATTTACAAGATGACGATTTACAAGAAATTTCAACCATATATCATATTTTTCTCATTGCAGCAAAAGATGATAAAGTGTGGATGATGCTATATAGATCTTTATAAATGCAGTTTGTTTGTTAAGTAGCTTATTTAATTATGTGATATTCAGGAGAAAAAGAACAGAGAAATCTAAAACACAGATTATTTCAGTGGATACTATATTATCTATAATGTTGTACAGGGTTTTTGCTTTGAAAAATATGATTAAGTTCTCAACATTAGTATCTAAAAGGATAACTCCCATCACCTTAAACAATAAAGTAACATAAGGTTTTACGGTGAATGAAGCTGACCATGCCTTTTTTTTCTTTCTTTTTTTTTTTCTTTCAAGGACAATTAATTGCTAAAAATAAAATAACATACTAAATCTGTAAGTTTATGTTATAAGTTATAGCATAAGGTGGAGTGAGGATTAGAATAGAGGATGTTTGGAATTTCTTTACAGACCAGTTAACTGTACATTGGAAACACTCAATATAAGGAGCCACAGAAATTCTAAGACAAACTGGCAGTAGGTTAAATGTAGAAAGTCTGTCAAAAAGAAATGATTTTATTTTTTTTCTAATGAGAGGACTGGGAGAGATAAGCAATAAAAGGAAGAAATGATTTTATTTTTTTTCTAATGAGAGGACTGGGAGAGATAAGCAATAAAAGGAGTAACAAAAAGAAATAAGACTGAAATACTTTTTAGGAAAGTTAAATGTGAAAATCTTAAATAATTTAGCAACTTAAAAGTAATCCCCATATATGTTGCAGTTTCCAAGTTCAAATACAAAAACAAAACTAGCAGTAAATAAGTTCAAAATGGAAGAAGAATATTGCAGATACAGCAAACAAATTGAAGAATATACTTAAAAGATTTTTCTATGCATGAGGATGACACTAATAATTTTCCGATGCCAGTGAAAGAAAAGATTATTCAGGATGTGTTAAATAAAATAACATATAGACCAGGAGAGACCAATCCAATGACATCAAAAAGGTCTACTGCAGTACTCAAAATAGCAATGCGTGGGCTTACTTTGATTAAGAAGCATGTGGATGGTGTAAATGTTGAAGATAATGATACTCCGTTGCTTGAACAAATATACTAAAGTAAAGGTCTCACCAGCTACTGCAAAACTTGTATCTTCAATGGCATATATCTTAATTTGTTGATCTGGTTTCACATGTCTTGCTGCTTCGATTCACACAAGATTCAGTCTCGCACAGGAATTATTCTGTAAATATTTGGATTTATAGAAATACTAAAATCTATGTGACCACAAGGCATGTATCATAATAGGCCAATAAAAGTTACTGATATCATATACTTGTGCACAAAAAACAAGAAGTATTTAAGAAGAGTGTGAAGATAATAGTGAAGATAAAGATATTCAATTACAAGTATAAATATACTAAAGTAAGAGTCTCACCAGCTGCTGCAAAACCTGCATCTTCAAAGGCATAAATCTGAACTGGCTGATCAAGTCCCACATGCCTTGTTGCTTTGATTCACACGAGATTCAGTTACACACAGGAATTACTCTGTAAATATTCAGATTTATAGAAATAGTAAAAGCTATGTGACCATATGGCATCTTCCACAATGGGCCAAGTTACTGATGACATATACTAGTTTACCAAAAATAAGTATGGCTTTCCTGAATGATCTTAGTAGGGAAATATCTTTTGTATATAGTTTTGTATAAAAAAAATATATCTTTCTATTTTAGTCAATTATTTCAGACCTCTATGCACTAGATGGGCCATCATCCACTATGTGCTTTGAGGAACTTTGAAAATATAATGGTAGAAACTATGAACATTTCAGATATACAGTTTATCTTATGAAGTAGGATGGCTTTCTACAACTAGTTTCTCAAATTTCTTATCTAATATAAAATAATGCTCCAAAATTTCATAAAAGTCAGTGGAAGTATACAAATATGAAATGAATTAATTTCTGTATAACTAGCACAGTACTGAACAAAATCAATGGGGAATATTTTCTCAGATACACTACAGTAAATCATCTTAAGGTGTTGAACACAATGGCTGCGTTACAACTTGAAACTTGTAATCACCAGGAACTGCCACTTCTAGACCGTTCTTTAAAGATGGAGTGGCCCAAGATGTATGTGGTATTCCAGCTATATCTGTAAGGTCAAAATGACACACATAAGGACAGAGTTCACTTTCAATTCTTCTATATATCAAAAAAAAATTAATCATTAAAAAGAACTGAAAAAAACAAACATCCTTACTGTACACTACATATAAATCAGTAAAACCAGATGTATTCATGTATAGTGTAAGTGTTTAAATTTAAGTGCATACACTGAAGGGTGTGATTTGAACAGTCTTTCCTTAGTGAATCCATAGCTGAAGTTTCCAGCTGTGTGGTTTTCCTATTGGCTACCTTCTATTCTGTTTCCAGCTGTGTGGTTTTCCTATTGGCTACCTTCTATTCTGACGTCCATAATTCTTTTGAGATGTATCAACTTGGCTGGCATATCTGAAATAAAGGTAAATACAGCATTAATATAATAAATAGTTTACATATAGAACAATGACTCCTATGTAAAATAATCTTAGTGAAAACTTTTATTCCAGCTGGGTAATACTCGTGTTCTCAAAAATGTTTTAATTTTTCTCTTTAGTGAAAAACTATTATCCTATTTCAGGCTCTCCTGCTACTTTATGTTTAACAGGTAGGAACTAAGTCTTATATGCATGTGGTTTTAAATCTTTATAGTAATTATATGACTTGAGAGTGAGAAAAAAAAAACATATGAAAAATGAATCAGTGTTTAGAAAACACCTGTACATTATCACCACCACCTGTTTCACCCTAATTCTAAAAATGCCAGCTAATGTTAATCCAGTAAATTGAAATAAACTGATTATATGTGGTTTTCACTACAACAAAGACCACCAAACCTCCTCCCTGTATTTTCTAACAAACGAGATAACAGACCATCCTGACAACAAATCATAAGATGAGGAACTGATCTAAGCTGCACCTTGCCATAATATCAAGAGATGGGATTTGTTGGCCTTTGCTGGTGCACGGGATGCCATGGCGATAGCTTAATAATGCATTAGTACTATGTAGGGCTTCAGACTGTAGGCCTTCTGTTACATGTCACGGTGAGTTTTCCGTGGATTAGGATGAATCATAAATAATATAATTACAAGAAATGGTTCCATTAAAAAAAAAAAAGTGAATGTCTTCTAAATATTTACCTAAAAGGAAACATAGTTACAGTATACCCCTATGGTTATCGCAATGTTCCTTTAAAGGCTGAACTATAGAGAACATCAAAAATATACATTTCATTACGTATAATACACAATGTCGTTGATCTTGTTTCCTCCTGTTGATGTGAGCGAGCGACCTTCCAATCCATCTTTCCTCTTTTATCGAGTTTTAAACTATACGAGATTCCTTATCTTCAGTGATAAGAATTCGCACAAACTGGAAGCTACTGACCCCTATCGGCTTAGGGCAGAACTACCATACCCAGAAGTCATGGTTTAACGGATATCTTTATACATAAAAGCCTACGTTTATTAAAATTGTGCGAGGCCCGAAGTGCTAAATATTCATATATACGGATATGCACATACACAAAAATAAAACCATATCTATCTAAATCATACATATATATATATATATATATATATATATATATATATATATATATATATATATATATATATATATATATACATTTAACCATCTATCTGTCTGGTAGACATGCATGTCTAAACTAAAAGATATGCATTTATTTCTGTGTATGTCCGTACAGTGAATATTCATTGGGTCGGGTATCGCATGGCTGTAACCGGCGCTGCTAGTCTTGTTATGTATGGAAGATGATGGTGCGACTATAACTGAATACACAGAAAGCCGCTATGTGGTACAGATGTGAGCATTTCACGATCCCTCTTAAGGGGTGTAATAAGGAAGCTGGATGTGAAATCCACTCGGTAGAAAGAAAAAAAAGGAAACAGAATAATAATACGATCTTGCATGCATAATCAGTAAAATTGTATGTGTAATTTTTCATAATATCTTTGCATAACCGATCACGATTTTGGTCTCGATGAATTCCTCTCACCCTCTAGCACACATATAGCAATTATGCCGCGGACTCCCCCCCCCCCTAATCCCCCACATTTTTGGTCCCGATAGCAGATAAGGGCATAGAAGGTTCCAAGGAAATTGCGGGCTAAACTAACATGATGCAGAGCCCCATGCATTAGAAAAGGGACTGATTCTGTGCATATTAATCATATTTTACCCCACAATTTCCCTAGTACCTTTCTTGCCCTCCCCTGGTATCGGGGCCAAGAGCGTTACTAATGGGGGGGGGGGGAGCATAATTTCGATATATTTGGACAGTAGAGAGTGAGTGGAATCCATCGATACCAAAATCGTCGTGATCGGTTATGCAAAGGCATCCACTGAGTAGTTTTCAACGAAATTGCACAGTTTAGATCTGTCTTTGGTAGATCACGGAAACTACTCGTTGGATTTTTTTCTCAACGCTTGGGAGAGGCGTTCAGGGATTCGGCAACGCGATGTGCGATTCTACGTCATCGTTTAAACTTTGCCTGTTCAAACCTGAAAACCAACCTATTAGAGGTCAATTATGTGTTTATTGTGCTTATTTATTAATTTATTTATTCATTTTACCAGAAAGGCCTAGGAATGCATATATTTTAAAACGGAAATGCAATTAATATATTTTTAGATCATTTTGTATCTAAAGATCAAAGAAACAAACCATGAACAGAGATTATTTTCGTTTCTGATAGTCATTGGAAATATCTGGAAACTTTTCCTCTCGAATACAATCTCAATTCATTTCTTCGATTTTAAATATTGTCAATACTATGTGCATATAAAGTCTGAACATGTTTAATAGCTTTGGTAGCAATGAATATTCTGATTTCAAAGATAAATCTTGTAAAGTGAATGAAATTTATTAAACATATTCATATAAAGATGATAAAAAAATTATATATCGTTACTGTACTCGGACTATCCGTATGAAATAGCATTACCAGGGTAGGAGCTCCTCTATAGCGAGGATTGAAAACCTATATAATATTAGGAAAACTCCCTCATGGCAACGACCTTGTTCTCATCTGTATATAGTTAAAAAGAACGGATATTACCCATGTTTTGACGGTGGGGCAAGGGCCTTTCATCTAAAGCCATTATGCATAAGACTATTAAGTTATCCCTGTAGATAAATAATAACAATAATAATAATAATAGTAGAAGTAGTAGTAGTAATAGTAGTAGTAGTAGTAATAGTAGTAGTAGTACTAATAGTAGTAGTAGTAGTAGTAGTAGTAGTGGTAGTGGTAGTAGTAGTAGTAGTAATAATAATAATAAATAAATGAGAATTAAAAAAAAATGAAGACGTGGCGTAGTAAGCCATCTTGCCGAACGCCCACCGTTGAGGGTGTTTAAAAAGTTAAGAACTGGAAACTTCAACTCCCTTTGAGCAATGAGCCAAAGACTAGAATTCGCCTTAGTCAGCCGAAGCAAGAGGCTCTACAAAAGCCAAATAAACTGAAATTGAAGACCAAAAATGTAGGCGATGTAATTATTTTCTAGACGAAACAGTTTTCCCTCGATAATTTAAGAGTTAGGGATATACATAAATTACTTATTAGGCCTATATATTTAGTGACAGGAAATTTACAGCAAGAAAAAAAACTGTAAGGATCCCAAGCCGTGATTTCGTCCTTTTTGGTGTTATTTTTAAAAAATTAATTATCTAATTACAGCAGAAAATGGAATTTGAACGATTCACTATAAACCAACACGGAAATAAAGGAAAATCACAATAAAATGCGAATTTTCTATCTGATAACATACAACATTTGCCCTCGTGCCCTTTCTGTGGCATATCAGAACTCTCTGGAAGACGTTAATTCTTGAATATGTCTAGGTTTATATCTTTACAAAAGGGGAAAAAAACTACAACGGTTAACTGCAGAAGAAAACAATGACGCTAACTGCTTTACCATTGGCATTTTGCCTCCTTAACGGAAATTCCCTGCCTCTTAGATTTTCATTAATTTACATATCAATCCCGTCTACGGCCTGAAAGTTTAATTTATTGCTTACGGCATTATTGGCGTGTATGTAAATATCGTACACATCCACGTATGGTATATGCTAATGACCATATTCATGTACGGGTACACATATTTATGTCTGTGTACATATCACACGTACGAGAATTATCGCAATGTAAATATGCACAAAATAATATATACTTAAAAGACACCGATTTTTATTAACGTTTTTTCACACCGGAATTAATGAAAAGGTGTTTAAGACCTCGTCAGCCGTCACCAGCAAATCCCGACAAAGCTGAACAGCAACTTTTACATCGAATTTTCTCTCTTTTTTTTCGTTTCTTTCATTATGTGAACCTGCCAGCATAATTTAAAACGTCTAATGAACCGTTATTTTAGTGCTCTAGACTTAAATGAACCCAGAGAGTTGCCGGGAATGACATGTACTGTTTGTAATGTCCATTACGATATAAGTTAATTAATTGTGTTGACACAGATGACACGGAGTTAATTACTAGTCCTACCTACATCAGCTGTTTTCTCTTTTCCCTGAATTTTGGATTTTCTCTATGGCTAATAGTATTCTAATGGCACTAAACTAATGCCAGTTATAATAATAACAATATAAATATCAAGACCATTAGAAATGAATCCCCTGAAAATAATAAGAATAAAAAATGGGAAATCAGGTGGCCACAAAACAAAAGTAGACCCCGAGTGGATATTACATTTATGGTGCTGACCCGGCGGCTGTGGGTTAGCAACAATTTCCATTTGCTCTTTGTTGAGGAAAGAGATCGTGATATTTATTTTCGTATAAAAAGACAAATTATATATGATTGGTGTTAATTGCATGACTTCGTTCTTTTTTTTTTCTTTTCTCTTTTCTTTTTTTTTTTTTGAAGGAGAGATTTGGGCATCTTTGATGTTATTTGTCTCTAATAGATAAATAATTCACATTTATTACATTTGGAAATTAGTCTTTTATATTGTATCTCCGAAACTTCTATCCATTCATATATTTTATACGTGTTGTATATCATACACACACACACATACACACACATATGCACACACACACACACACACACACACACACACACACACACACACACACACACACACACACACACACACACACACACACACACACACACACACACACGCACAACAAGCATAATAATAGTCTGCTGGCCTGACTTTAACGTAAGTTACTCCACCTTGTGAATAAATAAGCCATGTCATGATTGGCTTCTGTTGATGATTTCTCCTCGGCTGCGAATGATGCTGTTACGTTACGATGCGGTTTTCATGCACTCATGCAGGTGAGAGATGAGTTTTGTTGTTGTTGTTGTTGTAGTGATTAGGAAATGTCTTTATTCCAAGTCGTCCTCTTCGTTAATCCTCTCCTTTAATGCGGTTCTAAAAATTGACATTATTGTTTACTATATATCTTATTTTTTATCGCCAGTCATTGTCATTTTCAGATTACTGTTATTACTTTCAACGACGCCGATGATAGTAATAGTAGTCCTTATTGTTATACATATTTTTTCTTCATTTTGTGATAGTGATCAGATTTATTTTTTTACTATTTTTGAAAATAGAAATACCAGTAACAGGAAAATAGTCATTATCATAAGTGAATTACATATATATACATTTACTGTTTATCCGTTATATTTGACACACACAAAAAAATCCTTAAATGTCAAAGATAAGAACTGACAGATATGAAAAAAAAATTATTAATATCGCAGTTTGACCGCAGTCCAGGCAGGCAGCACGAAACCAACAAAACTGTAGGCGGAGTTCCATAGCAACAAGGGGCGGAGCTTCTATAGGGAGGCGGAGTCATGCATAACTGCGAAGAACGAATATTTATAGCCCCGCAGAACGTCTTTTAGTCAGTTATCTCCAGGCCTTTGAGGAGTTACTGTCAGAAGGAGATAGGAGACTGCACTTAATAACTGACGTTTCATCTGACTCTTAGAAAAGGTGAGAAAAGGAGAAATTGTAATATTTCTCCTGATTTTATTATATTTTTGAAATATTTTATTTGTGAAGCATAATGTATATATATGATTCATATGTACGCTTGTCTGAATATATATTGATAGGTATGTACATAATTTGCATAGGATACAATGCGTTTAGCTACGAGGAATTATTTTTATGAAAGAATTTAATACTCGTTTATTCGGCAGATAAATTTAAATATTCACTTTTGAGACGAAGTTTTAGCCCACTCTAATTAATCGCGTGCAAGCATACAATTAACGACCACGTGATGTCCTGTACCCCAATTCGTAAATGTAATAACAGATACGTAAGATTAGATAATATAATAGCATAACGTTCGTCATAGGCGGAA